CGGTGCGAGACGAGGAGAATGGGACGAGAGGTCGTGCGGTCGTGCGGGCAGCGTTTTTTGTTTTAAGGAGGGGCAGGGCTAGCGATCGATGGATTGGCTTAATGCGTGGTTGGTAGCGTTAAACACCGAAGCATTAAGGGCCATTAGATCTTGATAATGGATGGATGTAATTGTTTGGATCTGCCCCTCTCTTCTTTTTATAGGCGTAGTAGATAGATACATTTCCCAAATACGTGATTAATATTTGTTTCAAATATATGTTATGATGTCTACCGTTTTCATACATATTGTGTATTTTTTGGTAAATAAAATATTTTCTAATACTTAACCTTTTTTCAAATAATTGATTAAGATTTTTTTTCAAATGTATGTTTTGAGGTCTACTGTTTTCATACCCATTGTACATCTTTGGTATACATCTAAGCACTTGTTGACACAGGTTTACCATTTCTCATATACACGAATCATATTTTTTTGATACAGGAAGTAGAAGTACAAACCCATGTCATTTTTTTTTCTGAGACAAAAGCCCATGTCATCTCAATGTTTACCGAGAGCACCTGGGCCACCGTGTGTTTTCTCGGCCGGGCCTGCACAGAACCACAGAGCAAAAACAAGCCCAGACGCAAGCCCATCACACCCCACCACCACCTCGCGGCCCAGGCGGCTGCCCTACATATACCGACCCCCCAGACGGCTAGGGTTTCTCCCTCCATCCACCCCTCCCAGCCGCGCTCCGCCTCCCGTTCGCCTGCACGCCGCGGCGCCGCCGTCTCCGTCCCCGCCTCCGCCCCCGGCGCCCGTCACCATGGTGAGCACCCCCCAGCCGAGTCCGCTCTCCCCGTTGGTTGCTCCGGTGGTAGAGCTCCCTAATCTGACCTCCCTTGTCTCCCTCCGCAGATCATCTCCAAGAAGAACCGCCGCGAGATCTGCAAGTACCTCTTCCAGGGTGAGCTACTCCCCCCTCCCTCGCCCATTTTTCGCACCGTGCCGGCCGTGGTCAGGATCCAGATGCCATCTCGTTAGTCTTCTTCTGTAGGGTTCGATCCATGTGTTGTCTAGGGTTTTAGCCAGGTTGCTCCGTTAGTGTTCTTGGCACCCATTGACCGCGGCGAGTTCGCTCCGATGCGCGGTTGCTGCAAGGTTCGAGCATAGACAGTTAGGACACCACTGACATCCTAACTGTAGAATCTTATTCATGTCAAGCTGCAATCTTGAAGAATTCTACTGACTATTACAATAGTCTGAGCATCTTAACTGAATTCCTTGCTGCGAATTTCAACTTTTGATTGATGTGTCCAAGAATGCTACTACTTTGGATGGTCTGAAGGATTTGACCGATGAATCTATTGTGATGTGTGTGCAGAGGGAGTCTTGTACGCCAAGAAGGACTACAACCTGGCCAAGCACCCCCAGGTCGATGCCTCGAACCTCGAGGTCATCAAGCTCATGCAGAGCTTCAAGTCCAAGGAGTACGTCAGGGAGACCTTCTCGTGGCAGCACTACTACTGGTACCTGACCAACGACGGCATTGAGTTCCTCCGCACCTTCCTCAACCTGCCGTCTGAGATCGTGCCCAACACCCTCAAGAAGTCCGCCAAGCCCCCGTCCCGCCCCTTCGGCTCTGGCCCACCGGGTGACCGCCCCAGGTGAGCTAGCTATGTTCATCATTCTGCCTCTCTGTTTTGGGCATAGTTGTTCCTGTTGCTGTTGAGAATATAACCACACTGATCATCTAGCTATACTCTATATTTTGATTAGTCTGTCTAATCTTGGTGCCTGTTGACTTGGAATGAGGATAAATTTTAGTCCTGATCCACCATTTGTTTAGCAAAGTTGAAATTAGTTGATGAACCTTGCCATGCCACACCAATGCTCAATAATAATCTCTGTTCCATTTCTGTTGTATGGCCATGCTATTCAGTTGTTGAAACACAGGGGAATTAGGCTTGTGTTTTTTATATATCTGTATATGTATATTCTACAATTTGACCTACAATTATCCTCCCTATAATGTTGTGTAGTTAAAGCCATAAGTAGTTACATTTGGCAAAGTATGAAACACAATTCTTCCATGGTGTCCAGCTTGTTTGTTTCTCTTACATTCATATATCAAGAACACTGATGTATTTGTATTCACTAATTGGTTTTGCTAAATTTGGCAGGGGTCCTCCTCGTTTTGAGGGTGACAGGCCCAGGTATGGTGACAGGGATGGTTACAGAGGAGGCCCACGTGGTGCTCCAGGTGATTTTGCTGGTGAGAAGGGTGGAGCTCCTGCTGAGTACCAGCCAGCTTTCAGGGTAAGGACTGCAATTACCGTTGTTAAATTTCATATGATTGTTGGCATCAACTTAGGTGTGCATTCATGACATGATTACGTTTCTAGCTTCTAGCATTCGAACCAGTTTTGATAACTGGACTCTGATTCTCTCATTATATGTTGGAAATATTCTACTGTGATACTGTATTGGTTTTTAGCTTGATCATAGATTGTAGTGTTAAGCTCTGGTTTCCTATGAGGCTTGATCATAGCTTGGCAGTTCTCAGCTCTGTTTCTGTTCTATGTAAAACAGTTTTCAATTCTGGTGCTGTACTATGTAAAACATTCCTTCATTGCACATATAGACTCTACTATGTAAACCATTCCTTAATTGCACATATAAACTCTATACTTCCTTCTGGTTATCTAATTTTGTACAATCTGTAATTGTTTCTCCAGGGTGCTGGTGGTGCTGCCAGGCCCTTTGGCCGTGGAGGCGGCGGCGGCACTTTCGGTTCTGGAGCTACCATGGAGTGAAGAAGCGACTCTTCAGCAAGTGGGAGCACCCAACAGGTCTTCAGATCCAATGCGTGCGTGGGGTGCTGTCCTCTCTGTTGATGTTTGAATTCTGCGAACACTGTGATGATTTTGTTTATCGGGATTGTAGCTTAAGACCATGGTTTATGGGTTCGTTTGTGTTAGAATGAGCTCTTTGATATTAAGACAGCTGTTGATCGACTCACAATCTAAAGATGGTCAACTTGCTATTTAATTGTGTTTTCTGTCCTGTGCTGTTTCTGGTTCCAAGAAGTTACGTTTCACTTTCTTTTGACATGTGGAATGTGTGCATGCCTCCTAGATTGGGTTCTATTGCCCTTGGCTCTCCATTAAGTGAAAAGGAATCACTTTTGCCCTGGATCAAATTTAGCACTCCCTCTGATCTTAGTTTGATGAAATGGATGTATTACAGTGCTTTGTGAATTAGGTTCATTTGCCATTGGCGTTGGAAGTGAAACCCCCCCTGAAAAGTTTGGTTCGTAATTCAGCTTCACCTGAGAGCTATTGAAAAAAAGCCAACCTCAGCAATCAAAAGGTGAATCATGTAGAAAATGTGAAATTATGAATTGATGCTGAATTTGTGTTTGTTTCCTTTGTGAAATTGAAGTTGACTTTGAAAGTTTACATGTTCCTCGGAATTTCTGAAACATCTTATACATTGTTTTCGGTTCAACAAAAACTTGATTTCCACTGGATATTCTCCCGTCTTTGACTCATCTCGCTGAAAACTTGATTTTCACCGGATTTTCTTTCCTTGACTTCAACTCGATATCACGACAATAGTGTTTACCTTGCAACCTTGGCCTCTCGAGTGATGTCGTAGAGTCCACACCCTAACAATCCCACATTTTGTCTTTTAAAACATAGAAGGGTTTCGAAGGCCCCCGATGTAAAATGGGGGTACACAATCTTGTCGTCGCTAGGGACACCAATTGGGGCGGCAAAGCCTCCATGGTAGCACACCATGGACTTCATGCTGAAACCACATTGTCTCTCATCTGGCATCTTGGTCGGGAGGAAGAAGAAACACTGCCATTCAACCAACATATCCGATGGTAAGCTAAAACGGCTGACAATCGACCATTGCAGCAGGGGCGAGAGCCTCTTGACAGCAGCCATCGATGATTAGCACCTTCTCAATCTGGATCTCCATCACTCTTCTGCTCCTCTTTTTACCACCATTGCTACCTTGCTAGCAGAGGGCGGCGAGACACAACACCAGGTCTGACCTTGCTCCTCTTTAATTCTTCTTCGCCCCCTCCACAGAGGGAAGAACAATATTGGGGATTGTAGCAGGAAATCACCCGAATCAATTGATTTGGCACTGAATCCCCTGATAAAAGGGAAGCACTCGTGAAGGGGGTTTATTCCAGTAAAGAAGGTGAGAGGGAGTGATGCCGGGTGACCAAGAGCTTCACCACAGAAAAGGAAAACGAACGTCGGCATAAGAAGTAGCCTCAGAGCCTTCCCCTTCCTCTGCTACCTCACCATCCACATGTACCCAGGGACATGAGAGAAAAGATAATCACGATCAACTTCATATCCGGTCGACGCTTTATTTGCGTGAAAGAAAAACACCACCAAAACATAAAGGAAGAACCCGACCTTCCTCCAGCAAACCCCGGCCACCATGGTCGCCGATAGTGGGAAGAGGGAGGTCGGTGGGGAGATATATGAGGGAGCGCAAGGAATAAACGCCACTAGAGGCAGTCGTCACTGGGGCAAATCCGTCACTGGCAATGCCCCGGGAAGGGGGTTTTCACCTCGCCGTTGTCAGTGAGGAACCCTGACAATCCCTTTGTCTTCACTTCACCTCCTTCACTCTAAAGTGATGGCGGTTGAACGTTAGAGCGTTTTTTCTAATCTTCTGGACTCTTAACTAAAATCAATTCATCGCACCAAAAAAATTCAGAATCGTCGACTCTTTAACTAACCCTAGCAGAAATATTCATTGCACCCTACCAAATACTGTATGTCAAATCAAAGCACAAATAGAAATTAGTAATTGGTGTATCATCCTCCGGCGGATAAAAAACCCCACCTTTCCCACCTCGCTCGCTGCCAGAGACACCCAAACGGTCACCGCCGCCGGCCGCCCCGCCCCGCTGCTAAACCCCCCACTAAACCCTAGCCAGAAAACCCCCGCCGCCACCGCCGCGCCGCCTGCCCCCCGGCCTCGGTATGGAGGGGGAGCCGCCCGCGCAGGGCCCGCCCCCCAGCGCCGCCGCCGCCTCCGCCTCCGGCCCCGGCGGCGGCGGCGGCGGCGGGGAGAAGGGCGCCCCGTGCCAGGAGTGCGGGGAGCAGCCGTGGAAGTACCGGTGCCCGGGCTGCTCGCGCCTCACCTGCAGCCTCCCCTGCGTGCAGGCCCACAAGCGCCGCACCGCCTGCTCCGGCAAGCGCCCCCGCACCGTCCCCGTCCCGCTCGCCCAGTTCGACGACAACCAGCTCCTCTCCGGTGACGGATCCGTCCCTCGCCCCCCCGGCCCACTCCCTCGCTCGCTCGCCGTGGCCTCCATCCATGCTGACCGTCTGTCCCCTGTTTTCTCCGCTTGCAGATTACAACTTGTTGGAGGAGACGAGCATGGTCAGGGAGTCAGCCCACAGGCTGCTCGGCGGCTTGGGCCGCAACTTCGGCTGCGGCTTCGAGGGACGCCATGGCGCCCAGCTGCCGCCGTGGCTCTCCTTCCTCCGCAAGGCCGCGGAGCGCCGGGGCGTCCGGCTCGCCTTCCAACCCACTGGCATGACCAGGAGGGAGCAGAACCGCTCGCGGCACGACAGGAGGTATCTCAGTGCTGCTCTTTCGATTGATCGATCCTGTCTATCGCGATATGATGATGATGATGATGATGATATATTACTGAAGTAAAGTTGATTTTGTGTCAGTAACTGTTGACTGAAACTGAAGATACTGAAAGCAAATGGATGCTGTGGAGAAGTGAAATGCTCTCTATCTTGTTTGAGTTGTTGCTTTGCCTATGTATTCAGTAATCATTTACTTGTTGACATCATTGTGAACGTCTGATGCACATTGCCAAGGCCGTACCCCCAAAATTTGGGTCCTGGTGATATATAAGAAAGTCAATTAAAACATTTTTCATTGACCATTTGTAGCAGTATAGATTTCTCAAAGGATTAAACGAAAATCTCCTATGTCTACAACTAGAAGACATCTTAGAAAATTAGGATACTGAAGCTACAAGGATGCACAACTTCAGGAAAGAACAACCAATTAACTAAAGGTCAAGACTTCCTTAAAAGAGAAACTAAAGAACTGAGGGGCAAGAGAAGAGACGAAACAACCTTCGGCAGCCCGGCTGTTGACTGAGGCTGATGCTTGGGTCTCCGATTGCTCTGTGCCACGACCACAGACCAAGCAGCGAAACACGACTCCGATTGTTCGGATTTTCTTAAGGGAGGATTGAATGTAAAATCAATAGGAAAGCCCCTAATTTATATGTTGCAGTTGAACGAACCTGCAGCCGACTGCCATGGACACCTCTCTTCTCAGGAAATTGAGAAGCCATCGGAGGAGAATAGAGCAAGGATACGAGGCGTCCAAGAGTTAATTTCCAGCTATTTAATTTGGAGAGATTTGATTTGCCACTGAGCTGGGGCGAGCCAAGGAAGAGAGAGGCTGCCTGGAATTTGATGCGCAACATAAACTGCCTCTAGAGTTCTCCTGCACGTGAATGTGATAGAAAGAGATGAGAGAGAGAGACAATAGTTTGGCCATGGGCTTGGGTTGGTGGTTTGGTTCCATGGTTGGCCTGTGTCTTTTTCTCTTTATTTATAGTTCAACAAACTGATTAATCTTTAATCTCTTAATCAGAACTGATAATACTTAAAAGAATTGCCTAAAAAAACGTAAAAGAAAGTTGGGGGCCTGTGCAGCTGCTCCAGTTGCACTGGTGGATGTATGGGCCTGCATGTTGCTTAGCAACTTTTCTACTCGGAAGTTCGGCAAGTTTGCTCTAGAGTCTTTGATTGTTGGGGTTCCTGTCATACTTAATGTGATTATGATTCAGTTTGGCCTTTGCATGATTCCATGGTTAGGCGCTTCGACTCATAACTGATAAGTTTTCCATGCAAGTTTGTCCTCTCCTTGCTATTTAAGCAATAACACAACCACTGTCAGCACATTGGCTACAACACGTTGTGAATCAATATACAACGTTTTATTTTCTTAATAATTTGTGCAAGCATCCTATGCCTAAATACATTTGAATGAACCTTACCAGTAGTATCACTCCCCCTCCTTATGTGTAAATATCTCTTTTCAGAAGTGACTGCATATACTGGACAGTCGAGTGGAAGTTCAATTCAACAGATATTTTCCTAACTGACGAGCAGTAAGTTTTCTAATCTATCAGCATAGAATGTCTCCTCCTGTTTTTCCTGTTTGCAATCCTTGTTAGTTTAGCACCATTGCAAGATGATAAGATATATATGTGAAAGCTACTCCTTCCGATCCATATTAATTGTCGCTGATTTAGTACAAGAGTACTTAAAATTTCTGAAGTAGTTGCTCTGTATGTTATGGAGATGATCTGTCTATCATTTTCAAACTTCTTATGGGACATATTTTCTGATTCTGCACTTACTTACTACTACCAAACATCTGGAAGCAGAGCTAAACATTCATATATATGTTGCGCTAGTTAGTTTGATCCTACACATAAATATAGAATCTCCGTTCCTTCAATGCTCATTATGCCTTCTTTTCCAGGACAGACGAGAATGCAAGCTTGCTATCTTTATTGGAAAAGCATCTGACTCCTTCCCCTTGGAAGGACCAGCTTACGCCATATCGCAATACTGAACTGCGTGATTTGAAACTGTTCATTCAGAAGTCTGCCAAGGTACTGCAGTCAAGTTTCCATGTGTCTTCTGCGGTTATTGATCTTTGCTCTAAATTTGTATTAAAATGACTTCTTGTTTTAACATTGCTATAGAATTCAAAGTCGCCACACCGTCAACTCAATATAGAAGAGCCCTTGCGCCCCCAACTGAGGGGCACTCTTATTGTCGAGTACCCAACTATCAATGTCTTCCTTCCATCAGATAGTTACGAGTTTCAAGTCGAGAAGCCTGCAAACAAGATTAGCAGAAATGAGCAGCCCCCTGGCACTTCGAATGATAGCCCTCCTATAGAAGGCACCCAGTTTCAGGAGGAAGAAATAGAGGAAGGCGAGTTGTCTCCAGAGACGCAGGTTATTGATCTCAAGGATTCTGGTCCGTCACGTACCACAAATCTTTCTCAAGTGAAGGTTACGAGTGAACCTAAGATGGACAGCATGCCGTCGTATGTCCGTGGTCTGGCATTTGGTGGTAAACAGGGGGAAGTTGATCAACATAGCAAGATGGCATCGAACATGACTCCTGGGGCTCCAAAGGCTGAATCCTGCATGAAAGTCTACCCAGTGGACTTGAAGGAAGGAGTTGAAGGTGGGACCTTAGAGGGTCAGGTTATTGACCTCAAGAACCATGCAGCTTCAGATCCTGCTAAAGATATGAAAACACCTGACACAGATCGCAAGATAGATTCTTCAGTGCTGTCTCCCATCAGTACTCTAGCATCTGAGGTCTCGAGTCATCCTCAGGAAGAAGAACACAACCAAGAAAGCAAGCTGACGCCATCCGCAACCCCTGAAGCTCTGAAGAAGAGATCTCTCACAAAAGTCTACCCGCTGGACATCGACGACGCCCAGGGGGTACTGCTCTCGGAGCTGCCCAGCGTGGAGTTTGAGCAGGAGATGGGAGACGCCTACGAGGAGCTGTTTGGGGACATGAACCCCGATGACTTCCTCGACTTTGATCTCGGGATGATGGACGTGGACGGGTACGGCGAAATGAGGTCCCCGTTGAAGCTGTGGGACGATGATTTGGAGGAAGGCGAGATCCCCTCGCAGCTCTGAAGAAGAAACCTGGGTGCTCGGAACTCGACACGAGAGCTTGGAATCCGTTTGGTTAGGCAGTCGCTTTGCCATGAGTGTTGTTCCCATGTATTACTAGCATTGGCATTAGTACCACCTCAGGTGCTATTTATTCGTTGTTGTTTTTTCTCTTGGTTCCGGTTGTCGCCGGGGCGGCATGGAGTCAATTTTGAGGTTGTAACTCTGTAGCCGCAAGGCCTGTCAAGCAAGCAAGCTGTCATTAAGTGAAGCCGGCGGGCAATGTCGATCATAGTTGTGGGTAGCATATGAAATTGCGAAAGATGTGATGTTATCTATGAACGCATCATCAGTCTGTTGCTGGTCAGAGATATTTTGTTTTCATTGTTCACCGTTGCTGAACCTGCCATTTCATGAAGGACCTGGTGTGCTTTCTCGTGGCAAGCTGGAGTAAGAGAATGCGTGAGGGAGACCTGAACTGCAAAATGTGTCTTTATACAAATTTCTTTTCTTTCCAAAATGCATTTACTTTCGAAATATTCGTCGTATCTGTATAGATATAAATATTTTCTTTCTTGGACGGAAGGAAAAAAAGAGAAAGAAATGAAAAGAAGTACGTAGTAACGTAAAGGGAATTCCTCCTACACAAAAAGAAGGGCTCGTGAGGCGCATCGCATTCTATCACGCGACCCACCAGGCGGCGGCGGCGTCTCGGCTCGCACCCCACAGCACACCCATGGCGGCGGAGGGCGGCGGCGGCGGAGGAGGAGGGAAGGTGTCGTTCAAGGTGATCCTCACCTCCGACCCCAAGCTCCCCTTCAAAGTGTGAGTACAGATCCCCCTCTTCCCCTTCCCCTCCCCTCCTCGGACCAGATCTCGTCCCTGATCCGTGTGTGTCGTTCGGTGGCTTTCGCAGGTTCAGCGTGCCGGAGGCGGCGCCCTTCACCGCGGTGCTCAAGTTCGCCGCCGAGGAGTTCAAGGTCCCGCCCCAGACCAGCGCCATCATCACCAACGGTACGACCCCCCGCCCCCAACCTCCGCGCGTCCTCCCGTCGGATCCCGTCGGGACCGTGGTGCTCTTGGTTGCTCTGATGCGATTTAGATTAGGGGTGCGTCACGAGGGCCTATCAGGTTGCGATTTTAACGGGGAAGTGGTAGATAATCCATGGCTTCTCTGCGCCAGTTGTTCCACTCGGTGGGATTTATCTTCATGTTGGAATGATTGATGATATACGTATTCTGTAGGTTCAGATATGCCTGTGAATTGGGAAGAAAAAAGAGTTCACTTTGAATTGTCGACATACAGGACGAATTCAGTGGGAAGTCTGTATGTTTGTGGGAACAGGGGAATGCATAGCACGGTTTCAACATGTAGTCTGATCCAGACAGACAGATTACTCATCTGTCCTGGCTTTGGCAAGCCAATTGGTGATTCTATTCTAGCGAGTGAATTTGATTCGCTGAGGCTTTCCGTGGACGGCTTGCACCGTTTTCTGAGATATGGACAGCGTGAGTAGGAACCCATGTGGCCTTTATTTTGCTTTCCGGGACATGTTTACAGGTTTTCCAATCATGGTTGGCACTTCGTGACCTTAAACCTTATGGGATGGTCGGTGGTGATTTACTGATTTGTGCTAGTTGATCGTTTTCCATCCGGACATGGCCACTACATATCATCTGACTTCTAGCGCTTGATGAATGATGATGATGATAGGCTATCACGCACCACATTTTGTATGACGATGATGATGATGTGGTGAAGTGGTGATTACGAATGTGGGAAAACAGTCCTCGGGGTTTTCCTGTCTTGGCAGATTCATTTATGATAATCTCATTTGTTAACAGAAAACTTTAGCCTATCAAAGATGGAATTCTAGACCAGCATGCAAGGATGTACTCCCTCCGTTTGGAAATAAGTGGCGTGGTTTTATTTCAATTTTTGAACTAAAACCATGCCACTTATCTCTGAATGCAGGTAATATTATTTCCCAGCTTGTTTGTTTGCACTCCTTCTGTGAACAAATGTAAGACATTTTAGGTCACTACTTGGTGACCTAAAACGAGGGAATACTTTGTAGAAAACCTGCAGTATAGTTTTGAACTGTTAGTTTTGTGGCATATTGGTGGTGAGACTAACATAGTAATAGTAGCATGGTCCTTTGATGGCTTCTTAATGCAAATACGATTTGATTATGAGCTGTCAAACATGTGGCCAGCTTCAGGTCACTAGAGCAGAAAAGTGTTTGTTGATTATTGTTTTGCCTGTTTGTTTGATACACAATTTTCTCACTTGAAATAATGTTGCATTTACCCTCTTTGCAGATGGAGTAGGCATCAACCCACAGCAAAGTGCAGGTACTATTTGCAGATACCCACACTTGCATTATTTTATTTCAGATCTGCGCTCTTTCCCAGTTCATTCCATTAGCCACAAGTATATTTTCGACAAACTATTTTGTACCATAGAAATACTTGAGTCACTGGATTCAGTTGTCTACTAGGTTGTACAATATTAGCTGGAACTGTTTGAGGTCACTGATATTTTTGTGTGTGTTCTTATATCGAACCATTTGATTTGTGCTGGGCTGCTGGCACTAAAATTGTTGGCTACTAGAACTCAAATGAGGTAACCAGCTTTTGTGTAAAAGAAGAGTAGATGATCACCATAGGGATTGGTGACATGCAAAGCAATAAAACAGGCATCAAACACTGCATATCATTTTTCTGACATATTACATGAAGTGAGTGCATATCTGAATAGCCTCTTTGTGATTCTCTCTTTCTGAAACTTACGTCTCCTGGAGTACTCACTACCATTCTCATTTAGGTTATTTAATCTTCTCCCAGCCTCCTTGTTGAGCTTGCAAATTGTATACTGTGTATTATGCACTTCAAGTCCAGCCAATAGGACACCACTTCCCTATGTAAATGTGCCCCTTTTCTTCATTGCCCGGCTGATGTAAAACTGTTGTTATTTTTTCAGGCAACGTGTTCTTGAAGCATGGCTCGGAGCTGCGACTCATCCCCCGCGACAGAGTTGGAGCGACTGCGGCGTCTTTCTAGTCAGTCATTGTTAGAGCCAACAATGAAGAAACCTATATAACAGGAATAAAAGCATGTCCATGCTCGGTTGTATAATGGATGTAACATGGTCGAGTATAATTTACCATCAACAGCCAGCCAGCCCTATGATTGACAGGATGAATATAGCTTGGCAGGCAGTGCCATGTGTTGCTGTCTTTGTTTGCAGCCCCTGATTTCCTGCTACTGCTCTTGAAAGCCATGGAGCGTCTGCTTGCAGTGTTGACTTTTTGAGAGAGGAAAAAAAATACACCTGGCATACGTGCTGGACACCTCATTGTTTCTGAGGAAAAAAAGGCATTGACAAACCAATTCTGTGAAGCCAAAAATGACATGTTTGCGTCGGTCATCCCTTTGCCTATGCAGAATCGATCTGGTTTTAGTTCTCTGTTTAGTTAGAGAAGCCGTGAAAGAAACTGTTTGCCTTCTTAGGTGCCACACAATTGTTAGGAGACAAGGTTCTGTAGTTCATTGTTCATTCAGTAGGTACTGCGCCTTACACTTTTGTTTAGTGTCCATGACCAGGCCCAAAGATCGTGCTCCCTCGCAAGCATGGCGGCTCCTGCCATACCAATACCCCGATTGTTTTTTCCGAGAGTACGTCAATGACGTACTATATTTTTATAGAAAGTAGGAAACATATTTACAAGAAGTGTAGCACAAATGTGAACAAAGATCGTGCTCCCTCGCAAGCATGGCGGCTCCTGCCATACCAATACCCCGATTGTTTTTTCCGAGAGTACGTCAATGACGTACTATATTTTTATAGAAAGTAGGAAACATATTTACAAGAAGTGTAGCACAAATGTGAACATTCGGGTGTCCACGATGCACCAACTCCCTAGAAGAAAATAAGAAGGAAAACTGCCCCCGCGTCGTCCGCCTGGGCGACTCGAGCGACGCTCGATCCGCTTTTTCCGGTGTCGTCCCTGTGCGCCTTCCCCTCGCCGCCGCCGGTCGGTGTCATCGGGCCTTGCCCGGGAGGCTGACGGCGGCGGCGGGGTTCCGTTCCGTGGATCTTTGGGCAGCGTGTTCGACGAGATGCAGATGGCGACTGGCGGCTGTGAAGGTTGATGCTGCAGCGGCGGCTCCGGCGCTCCACGTATCTGACGGAAGCCTGGCTTGGGATAACTAGGTCGGCACCATGGGCGCTCGTGACGCAGTCATCTTCGTTGACAGAACCACTGGAGCATGCACATATGTTGCTCTTCTGCGTCTTGTGCTGTGACTTCCTCCGATGCATCCAACCTGAGAGCACATCCATGCTAGGGCCACTGCTCCATGGGTGCATTTTTGGCGTTGGTGCGTAGAGCTCATGGTGGTTGTTCCCTCAGGTTTGGCCGTGAATCTGGTCCACAGGCTGCTGTGTGGTTGTGGGCTAGACTGGTTACCTGAAGAGCTTCAACCTGGATGATCTGCGTCCACTGGCGAGGACGACGGAGGTAGTGGCAGCTCGTGGAGCTGTTCGTCTGATACAGATCAGTCAACAGCTGCTACTTGTGAGGATGGTGTAGGCCTTCAGAGTGTCCCCATCCAGGATTTTGGTGGTGCCGACAGTCCTTCTTCCCCGTCAAAGTCTTCGTCAGATGGTGGCGAGAGAAGATCTTGTCTCATCTTGTCAGCTTGCTCGTACGGGCGTGGGCATCCCCCGTCACAAGGACCGTGCGCATATGCAACTACTGGAATCGAGGAAAGTGGAGGAGACGACACAAGACTACTTCGATTGGCTGGTACTTCTGTAGTACCTAGTCTCGAGCTCCGTGGTGAAAACCATAGGTTTGACCCTAGTTGGTCATATCTGGCAATGGCGGCGTTCTTTTGCGTCGTTATCCTGATGAGGGCATTGCTTGGAATTGGCTCGGACAACATCTTCAGGGTGAAAACCCATGATCTAACCTTGATGTGGTTGGATTCGGCGACGGCGGCGCTTGAACGCCGTTTCC